TATATATATATATATATATATATATATATATATAGTTTTTTTAAGGCTGGCAGCTACTAATATGTGGCTACAGAGGAGTAGTCTGAGGTTAAGGGTCTGGCTCAGGGAGCCCGAGTGACGACCTGTGGGGCTCTATGCACTAACCACTAGGCCAACACTTCCCTGACCTTCTCGCTGCAAGGCAGCAGTGCTACCGACTGCGCTAATGTGCAGCCCAACCTGTAGGGTCGCAAGCCTTTATCTCTGCTTTCTAGTACTTTTCATTTTAACAGCATCTGAAAAAGCAAATAAAATTCATAAAAATCAAAAATCTGCATGGGATTATTGTAGTTTCATCACAGCTTAATAAAAAATAATGTCTTTGTTAGATAAAAAAACAGCAAAACCTAAGGATTTCATTGAAAAAACCGAACCCAGTTAAAGAAATTTGAGTGCAGGTTAAACCAGAGATTAAAGGGTATAAAGAACAGAGGTTGTGGGTAATGAAAAAAAGAAAAAATAAGCAGTTTATTGTTCCAGGAATCCTGCTTTGCATATTTTTATGATCCTCATTCAAACATTTGTACTTGTAATGATCTCCTGGTATTAGCTCACATTTTATTTGCAAAGGTAAGTTTGCACACTGACAACCAACCACAGAGATAATCAGACGGTTGAGGACCATCCTACAGGGAACTAGAGGTCTTTAAAACAGGAAAATCAATCTGAACTGAAGTACTGAGCTGTGTGTTTCATACCCTCTTACTGAAGGAAGCAAATGGATCCAATCTCTCCTCGTACTGGGAGGAGTAGCGCATCACAGTGTCATCGCTGCCTCCGGCCTGTAACACAGTAACATGACAGATCTGAGTTTTCTTTAAGCTATCTCCAGAGTTTAACCCACTAAAAACTGAATGAAGACGCACTCTGCCCGGGTAGCTCTGCAGGAACTTGATTTTCTCATAGAGCTTTATGTTGTCGGCCCTCAGGCTGTCCAGCTCGCCCTGCAGGGCCTGCATGGTCTGCTGCATGGAGCGGTTTTCCTGCAGGGGTCAGATGGGAACCATGCATTAGGATTTCATTCATCGAATAACACAAACAGGGATATCCTTACAATCTGTGTCTGTGACTCACGGCTTCCAGCTCCTGGTTGCGAGAGCGGAACCTCTCCCTTTGGCTGGAGATGATGGAGAGCAGAGAGTCCATCTGGCCCTGAGGAAGCTCAAGGTGGGGGCTCACAACTGATCCTGGAGATAAATGGCAGAAAGGATGAAACAAACACCTAAAGGCAATCATGTGCTCATTGTTTACATGGATTTTGTTGCATCAGAAGATAGAAGGCATGGAGAGTGATCCCCTTATCAGACATCCTCTCTAGTCTGTGATCTAAGAGGTATTTAGGCTAGATTTACTGTCTCAGTGACATTTTTCAAAATGTGCCAAGCCCTTATCCAATGCCCAGACTGAGGTAAAATGTAAACCTTTTTCATCATTACCATGAATTGTTTTTTTGTTTTTTTTACTTTGAATAATCAAAGGATGAGAATGAAATCAGACATCATCCTTTGCAAAGGTTTTTTTCTAATCTTGGATAAGCTGCACAGGGATTTTAGCAACGTGTTTTGATTTGACATCAAGCTGTCACAGAAACTTTACTTCCATTGATAACCCCTGAGCCAAATCAAAGAACACCAGGCCTTCTGTTGTATAAGGGCTGGATGATGTAAGCCGTCTATTCTCTTATCTTAACCTTGCAGCCACTGCGGCTCAGATTTGCCAGAAAGAAGCTTGTTTCCCTCCTAGAGGCCGTTTCTCCTTAATATACACCTTAAATAAATCAAACTGTAGCTAATCCTCAAGGGAGGATATATAGTTTGGAGGGCAGAGAGATGCCTTTAACAAATGAGCTTCTCTCTAAATGAGATTTACAGCAGCTTGAAATTCAAAAAGCAGACCTTTTTGGTTAAAGGACATGAGATTTTTAATTGAGTTCAGTCTGAGTTTAAGTGGACCGAAGACACAAAAGCACCTTGGTTTCATCCTCTTCTTGTTTATCTACATCGACTGAGAGATTGCTTCTATAAAATGTGCATACTCCTACTTTTTCTGCTAATTTCTCTGTTTAGCTGTGCATCTCTCTCTGGGAAAGCCACAGAAAACATTTGTGTCTTCTTTAATTGAACCTTCTGTGCTTTTACTGCAATAGAAAGTACCTCCGGCTCATGCTAGTTTAGCAACAGCTATGTGTTGCTAAACTAGGCCAATGATGAAGCTACGGCTGCCGTTGATTGTTTAACCATTGTCTCTTTTCCATAGAGATGACATCTGACCCTACTATCTATATTTAGCTGAACCTTCTTCCCTAATAGATTATGACTGACCCATTTCTCTAACAGAAAGTACTCATGGCCCAGTGCTGCTATCCTGAACTGCGTCTCTTTCCTAAATGACTCCATATAACTTTTGTTTCCAGCATTTTTTTAGGTTCTATTAACATCTCTGCTATCTACTATCATCTGATTTGACTGTGCTGTAGTGTAACTAGGATAAACCGAAACAATTCAGGACTAACATGCCTCCATATGACATAAAGATCAGAATCAACTTAAATCACAAACCAAGTACACACCTGTAAAAGCTGCAGAGGCCTCTTTGATCGGCTCTGGGATGTTTCCCATGTTGCTGACCTCCGACCCATCGGCGTCGGGCCGAGGCAGGGAGGACATGGCCTGGATGGTGCTCAGGTCGTGCTCCAGCTTCAGGATCAGCTCCTTCTGCTCTGCGCTGGTGCGCACAGCAGCAGAGAACTCCATCTGCAGCTCAGAGTAACGGCCTGCGGAGCGCAAAGATCATTTAACAGACGGTCCGACTTCCTTTCTGAAGTTATAAGTAGCTTTTAAAGGGACTCACCTGAGGGAAATGGCAAAGGAGTCCAAAACATCCCTGAAAACCCTAAGCATTCATCTAAACCTCACCTAGACTCTTTCTCTGAGAATACTTTGTTTGGGAACCATGCATTTAAAAACAGAAAACAACAGAAGCACACTTTTAGTATTTGTATAAAAGAGATTTACTTCAATTATCACACCTAGGGTGCATGTGAATAATAATGATGATGAATCAAATGTCAATCATAACAAATACATTGTGAACGTTTCATACAGTGATATTGCTTTTCAAATGTCGTAGAAGGGACTGTTTTACAGTGCTGAGAACAAACAACATGATACGTTTAGTAAATAGAAAGCTAAAAGAAACCATGATACATGAGGAAAGGAAAACCAAACAGAGGGACACCCCGAAGGACAGAGAAATAAAAGCATCTCAGGAGTGACAGAAGTGCCGAAGAAACCACATATATATATATATTTATAAAAAAAAAATAAAGGAACAACCCAAACAGAATAAAAACATTGTAACATCCCTTTACAGTCATGCAGCCTCTTGTTCTACAACACACACACGTCCGCTTGCTCTCACACACTCACAAAATAAGCAGTGGGAGAAGTTATGAGGATTATTACTTCCACGTTGTTGATGGCGGGTTTGAAAAAAAAAATGAAATAAAATGAATCATTTAGAAACACTCTGAACCTGCTAAAGCCTCAACGAGCATCTTAAAGCTTTCCAAAAGGGGGGAGGAAGAGAGGAATATGTGGGGGGACGGGGTACAGGTCTCCCTCCAGGTCATTTGGTTGTCAGACTACACTGTTGTTCAAGCTAAGAGCAAACAGAAGAGACGACACTAGGTAGCAACACAACTAAATCTGCTGAGCGCCTCTCGACAGACGTGGAAAAACTACGTCACCATTTGGCTTTTTTTTTATTATTATTTTATTTTTTTTGCTCCGTCTTGAACCGTTTATTGTTCCAGAGTTGATCTGTCAGCTGAGGGATCTAAGAGATGATGGCTTAAGACTATAAATGAGCCAACGATAGTGAGAGGGGAACACAGACACACCCGGATGGGCCTGAAGGAAGCAGAGGGGGGGGGGGGTGTTTAAGAAGGCTGAGTGTTTTGTGCTGTGCTGCGTGTTAATAAATGTATTACTGAGTGTGCTATGCATACAGCACCGCTGATTCAGAAAGTGTTTCCTTACAAACAAGGAAAAAACACTTCTTAGGATATATTCTAAAAGTATTACAAAAAAACATCTGAGGTTTCCTCTCTCTCTCTTTTTTTTTTTTTTTTTATATTGTTTTTATGTTTCTCTTCTTCTCCTGAATATGTTGACCAGTGCTGCTGCTGCGGTTCGGGCTTCCATCACAACTAACAACTACTACTTCAAAACAGATCATACAGTAAAGCTTTCACAACTTCAGAAAAAAAAAACAAAACAAGATATGATATACAGCATCTGTTACACCTTTACAATGTTATTCAACAGTGTATAGAATAATCTGATTTAAATTTGTAGAAAAATATCTGTGGATCATGGAAAAAGTCCTGAATCGTCCCTTCTCTCCTCTCCTGCCTTTCAAACGAGAAGCGCGCTGCAAATCCAATCGGCTCCCTATTTACATCCGACTTTCTCCTTCTGTTTTTTTCTTTTTGTTTTTTTTTTCCTCCAGAAGAACCCAGAAGAATTGGCACGCGTCATTATCAATACATGTAGTGCCGTTTTTAATGTCACAGCAAAAACTGATGCGTTAAGAAAAAATAATTACAAAAATGCCCGGTGAATAAATTCAGTGTTCTTACAGTGTATGCTGCTGTTTCTGCATGCTTCCTCCTTCATTCTATGCTCTGGCCTTTTTGTTTTGCTGCTAGTTTATGTACAACACAAGAAAATGCTTTGAGGGCGGGGGGGACGGGGACATGAGGACCTGGATTGAAACATAACACAAAAATAAGTTTGCATCCCTGCAGTCTGAGAAACGTTTCCAGTACCAAGAGGAGTTTGTAAGAAAAAAGCGTGAATTTGAAGTGAGATATCAGCTAAAACTGTCTAATGACATCACTAGTTTGGTGCCCTGCTTGGCAGATAAAGGCACAAATCTGATGATCTCGCATGTTTTAGGCGGGTTGATGACATAAGTGATGGGTTAAGTGCTTTTTATGTTTTTGTGTGTGTTTTAAACAGATTCTTTTGGTTGGTACAACAAGCCATGTTCCTGCTGGTCCAGAGTTGTCTGCAGAAGGACCTTGATGTGCTTAAAGAATTTGAGACAGGTGCATCATATTTAATTTGAAGTGAAAAATTAAATCAGCTTAATTTTTTATTAAATTTTGGGATTTGAAGCCAATAAAAAACCCAAACTCAGTTTCTAAACTCGAGTTCTACTGAATCCAAAGCAGGATTTAGGATCCATTTACACTCCTCTGCGGAGATGAGTTTTACAGAAATCAGAGTTTAATTCTTCTTTAGGGTGGGTTTTGCCCGTATCAATGCAAATCTATAAACACAAGTGCAACATTTTCCTAATTGGATCCAAACCTTCATCAAAAATTATAAATTTGTTTAAGGACACTAAAGAACATGATCGGATCATGTCGTGTGTATACACGTACCAAGGGTTCGAGCAGATTAAATCATTTAAACAGGCACAAAACTGTCAAATTTATGAAAAAACGTCAGGCACATACGCTGAGTGTTTATTTTACGCCAATGATCTGAATGGGTGTGTAAACGGATCCCGATCGAAATGGCGACCCGAGGAAAATCCCTCTTTTTCAGAATGACATTTTTTCCCAGTCGGATTAAATCCTTCAGTCTGACATGTTTATATAATAACTTTTCGATCTGATCAGGCCTTCCAGCCGATTATTTGCGCCCATAGCTATTGTCAAGATGAAGACCCCAGACCTGCGATAAAGGAACCTGGAAGACTTCAACAAAACTGAACGAATCTCTTCCTTTTCCTGCCACACCGAGGCAGTAATTCAAACATAAAACATACAGAGGAAAGTACATAAACATTCCAGTTATCACTTTTTGTAATTAAATATATCTTTTAAGTCTAAAGCTTTGTTTTAATGTACTGAGAAACTGAATTGTAGGTTTTCATTGACTGTAAGTTCAAATCATTTTCTAAAATCAACACATTAAATATATCACAATGTGTGATTTACTTTAATGAACCACCAAGATGCACCCATTCTAGAAAATCCAATCCCAGCATCAGTGCAAAGACCTTGTTGGCTAACAGGAAATCTGGATGAACCAGTCAGGAGGGAGGTTGGGTGAGGGGGGGGCAAGTACGGAGACCAAAACAGGTGCTTAGTTATAATATCTACAACTGTACAGGACAACAGCTTATTGTGTCAGAGTCATCTGTAGTTTGGACAGGATTATAGTTTATCGTGTTGGACATGGGCACGGCCACCTAGTTATTTTTAGTGTTCAGATTCGGATGAGAGTCTGTGCTTGGTTCACAACCACTGGTTAAAAAAAAAAAAAGGCAAACACTTCCCAGGATTCCTGGGATGGTACTCCGTCGTAGTGTTTACAGACCCTGTCCGAGGTTTAAGTCACCAAGAAATCCTCATAAGTGCTTTGTTTGCTAACTGCAATAGAAATTCTGCATAATCATAGGCTGGCTATCTCTGCTCGATATGGCGCAGCACGTCCTGCTGGCTGGTACGCTTCTCTAATCTCAATTTGGCAGATATGACCTCTTTCAAGTGAGCGTGCTTCTCAAGTTTAGATTATTTCATTTGACCTTTTTTTTTTTTTTGTTTGAGTACAAATGCGGACCAGTTGATCACGTTCACATGGTCTATAAATGGGCGAAGTTGTGTGCTCTGCTGAGTGTTAGTGTTGGGCTTGCCCAAGGAAAAAAAACAAAACAAAAATAAAAATATCATTACCCCAGAATAGAAGATAAACAGACTAACATATATTCAGTGATCTTGATATGTCCTTTGATTCTCTAGCTAGCAGTTTAAGAGCATAACAGTTGTGGTAAGAGCTTTTATGCTTATGGGAGCATGAAGTGAAGCAAACACATTTCCAAAGCTATTGAAATGACACTAAACTTTAGGATTCATGAATATACAAACAAATGAGAACTAGTACATCTTTGTAAATATTAACCAATACTGCCGGCAGTCTATACGTCTAATAATAAAAATGTTACTTGCCCTCAGGAACAGTATAATCCCTTAAAAAATAGACAACTCATATGATAAGACATTAAATGGAAAAAAAAATACAGCACCTATAAATAAGCAGAATAAAAACCAAACTATAAATGCAAAAATAGCAATAAAACCAAGCTACAGTAAATCATAGTATTACACTACTTTGTGAGAAGATTAATGCAATGGTAACGCATCAAACAGCTTAAAGAAGGGTGTCAGTTGTGCACTAGTAGTGTGTGCAAGTAGATATACGAAATATGACCCCACTCATTTGAAAAAAACGCTCCTCTGTCGCTCGCAAACGAGCACGCATGTGTCCGTGCGCGCGCACATAAACACACACACACACAAAGGGGGGGAGGCAGTGGGCTGACAGGCACTGAGGGCTTGTGTAGGACGGGGAGGGGGAGTGATATGCCTTAAAGTTTGTAGTGTTTACAGTAGAATTCAATGCAAAAAAAAAAGACATTTATCCCTGGATACAGGATAGACTGAAGAAAACAGGGAGGGGGCGACTACTCACAAACAGGAAGGGGGAGGGGTTGGGATGAACTCACTTTGACAAAAAAATAAAAACTGCAAAAAGAACAAGATAATGGAGTTCAGCACTTAAAATGTGCTCCAATCCTCCTTTTTTCAGTCAAGGATTATAATATACTTTTTAAACTTTACTGTGTGAATTGACCTCAACCCTGACTTACATGCAGGCAAGTATAAATGCACACAAAAATACACACACACTCACACCTACGCACACACTCTTCCTGATTTGGCCTATAAAAACAGGTTTGTGACCAGAGAGTTTCTTTTCGGTAGTGATGCACAGCTGTGACGTGTACAACCCAAGAAAACAAGAGACACACGTAGAGCAACACCATGTGAGACAGCTACAGTACTACATGGATTCATTGTGTTTTATCTAAAAATAAAACAACCCAAAAAAACGCAACATTATTCCACTCTAATCCGTTTAGCTTTTATTCTAACAGAAACTCCTTAACTGTCTTCTTTTCTGTCGTTTTGTACTAATTTAAAAAAAATGTTCGGTAAAATTCCCTATTTTGTACTCTTTAGAGTCGATAGACTGTGCAATCTCTTATTGGCAACCAAATTGCAGTATCAAAAACAGATCATCCTTCATCCTGAAGAGAAGGGTCAAAAGAAGGCAGATAGAAAAGGTGCTTCCTTCCTTCCTTCCTCTTCAGATGAGCGTCTATGTTTGAGAGGAATTCAAAATGATCCTTCTGGCCATCACATGGCTGTCAGCAGGACAGGATATGGGACAGAACAGGTCAAAGTTCATCCGTCTTATTTCAGTAACCATGGCAGCTCAGCCAGCAGGCTTTCCTCTACCCTCCGAAGAGTGTAGGAGCGACTTAAAAACATGCTGCTGCCGAGAAAAAGAACACGCACCACATTTAGGTGTATACGCACTCACGCACACATAAAACACACGCACAGGTGCACGCAGACACAACCCCCTAACGTACAAACACACACGCAGTGAGTGAAAAAGGCAAAGGGTTTGTAACAGTCACTCTACAGTGTGAAAAAAATGAGGCGTCTCACTGAGTGAGGGGAGGTTTGTGGACACTTGGGAGGTGAGAAGAAGAGAGGAAAAAAAAATCTCCTTTAAGAAAGTGAGAGTTCTTGTAAGAGAGTTTCTGTCTCTATCAGTGTCTATCACTGTGACAGCTGCTGTGTCAGGCCTTGCCTGTGATACTGAGTTCAGGTTCGAACCCCAGCTGCAGGTCAGACCCCAGCTCAGGGCTAACCAGTCTGGTGCACCAGTGGCTGGTGATAAGGGGAGGTACAGCAGGGCCAGAGGCCAGCAGGACGGTTAAGTGCTTTTTCTCAGTACAAAAACAAAACTCAGTTTAAAAAAAAACAAAAAAACAGGAGAGACAAATCTCTTATTTTGTTCTTCTACGTACTCAGTAAAATCTTCTTCTTAAGGGTTTTGCCAACCACTCTTTGTTTCTTTCCTTTTTTTTTTTTTTGGAAAGCTTCTATGCAATAAAAATGGCTGCTGAGCTTGACTTTGGCTGTGTCCACTCTCCGACTGAAACTGAGCAGGAGGGGTCCAAGGTTAGAGGTCGTGAGGTTATGAGACGATAAGGATGAGGGAGGGGGTCAGAGGGAGCTAGAACTCCCACTCTGAGGGGTCCTCTTTACTGGCAGCCTTCTCCAGCCTGTGGATGATGTTATTGAGATTGGCTGCCTTCTTCTTGCGCAGATTGTTGTCCCTGGGGTTTCTGGCCGAGCCAGAGGCTGGGATGTTTGTACTCGAGGCAGAGCTAGTGGAGGAAGCCTCTGTGAGGCTGAAGATGCCCAGTCCAGTTTGTCCACAGCTGGAGCCCGGCCCAGCTAAGCCTGAGGTGGTGCAGTCTAACTGTGAGGGGGAGTTATTAGAGCCGCCTGCCTCAGACTCTACCTCCATGCCTTGGTCTTTGCATGCCCCTCTGTGATCCTCCATGCCCAGTCCCTGGCGGGTATCAACCGTGCCCTCAGACTCTGTCCCGTCACAGCTGTCCCCTTCTCCTGATTTGGACCCACGGAGAGAAGGAGATCCCCCCTCACTCCCAGGCCCCATCCCTCCAGCTGCCTGGATCTCCTCTATGAAAAGCTCCCTTCGGATGCGTGACCTAGAGCAGAAACACAAGTTCAACCCAGAGTCAAAGTCGGACAATTACATTTCATAAACATTTGGGGCATAAATTGGACTTTGATCCACACATGTTCAATGTGAAAAAATGAACATATCCCTAATAATATTTGGTGAAATGCCCCTTTGAAGCCAGAAAGGTCCCAAACAATCTGGTTTCTGACCCACAGAACGGAACCAGAACGGACTCGTGAACCAAAGTTTTATTTTATTTAAATCAGTTAATAAAATGTATTAAAGATGGGTCTAATAGTAATAAAATCTGCATCAACAAAAACAGTATTTGTTTTTATTCATTTCAAAGTGATATTTTAATTTCTTTAAACACAAATATCTTTCTTCCTTATTTCTGTCATTTAGTTTCATCTCTGTAGAGGACCTTAAGACTATAATTAATCCCCAAACTCTGGGAATCAATGCTCTAAAGGATTTCAACTCAAACAATCAGGTTTTGTTGCCACCAAGAAGCTTCTGGGTTCTACATTCATCCCCATTTAAACCAGAAATGAAGGAGCTAAATTAAAGCAGCTGGTTTGCTGACATTGGTTGGGTTTTAAACTGTCAGGCAACCTCATGTTTGCCCGTTGCTCCATTTTTAAACAGTTTTTTTTACCCCAAGAAACATAAGAACAGTGCACCACCATGAAGAAAGCTGCGTAATGTAGTGGGACCTTTTTCCTGAATGTTAAAGAAGACAATGAAAGAGAAATACCTTCAAATGTTAAAACTACAGTTAGACAGTAGAAGCTAGAAACATCAGGGGTGTCAAACAGCACATTTAAGTCAAATGTAGGTCTGATCTTGGTTCAGAATACATAAATAAGGATGATGTCAAGCTTCACTAATCGTAGATATAAAACATTGTTAATTGTTTAAAAAACCAGCTAACTGGGCAGTTTCAAATGGAGAAATTTCCAAACATCTATCCAGGACCATGGAAGAAGTCTATTGATGGCAACAACACATGTGGGAGAAACCTGTAGTTTACCTTAGGAAGGTTAAACCAAATATTTATGTACATTTCAACCCAGAAGGTTAAATTAAATAGCAGCCCTGTACGATCTGATTCTAGCATTAGGTGACAGCGTGTCGTATTTAAAAACCGTTGTTTTTCCTCTGAGCACTAACCTGTAATTATGAAACCAGTTGATGACCGTGCTGGTCTTCAGGTTGAGCTGGGAGGCCAGCTCCTCAATGGTTTTAGGGGAAGGGTAGGGCTTCTGCTGATATGCCTTCTTTAAGGCCTCCTTCTCCTCGGGGCCTAAGACCACCCTGGGCTTCTTCAGCTGCTGCTGGCCCCCCGGGCTCTGGGAGCCCTGCATGTAATCGGGCCCCGACAAAACTCCGTCCACAGAATGGCCGTCGCTCAGGGAGCTCAGCCGCCTTTTCATGTAAGCTGGATGACAGAAAAACATTGGAAATTGAAACAACAGAAGAAAATGGATCAAAGAAACACATTTGATAAAAACTTAAAAAGGTGCAACTTTAATAAGGTACCGTAAAAGAAACGCAAACCTAAATTAAACTGTGTTTGATACAAATACATTATTACTGCGCTTTCATTAAAGAGACATTATCTAACTTTTTAATGAAAAACATCTTTTTATTTGGCCCTTTACAACTAAAATATTGTTTGGAAAGCAGAAACCTCAGTAGTTCTGCTCCAATGCATCTATAAGCCTGTAGCCCATTTTTCTGAATTTACTGCAGGTCAGAAGTTCCCGCTCTGTTCTGCAGATGTGACATCAACATGTTATTGGGTCCAATGTTGTGGGGACACCAAAGCGACTGGCATCCAGCTCAACTCAGACACCAATGGCAACTCCAGGTAGAGTGAAACAAGTAAAAAATAACCCTAGTCAAGAACGAGCCTGAGCTAAACGGAGGAACAGAAGAGTGCTGCAGTTCTGTGTTTTGTTAACTCTTAGAAAACTACATAATACAGGCAGCTTTCTTTGTAAACGTGGACAGAAGAGGGTCTGAAATCATAAAGCTACTGAAAAGGTATGCTTTAACAGAACTATTTTTGTTTATCATTTTTCACATGAATAACTCCTTAAAACTAACATTTCATTAGCATTTCTAATCTATCTACAGAGAAAAAAAACTAAATTGGTTTTACTGGGAGGTTAAGTTGCACAGCCAAAATCCCATTGTAATGTTGTCAATTTCACCTAAAGTACTTTAAAGAAAGACTGGAACTGAACCACAGTGTTGTACAGTTTTCATAAAACCATTGATGAATCAAGCACATTGCAATAAAACATGATAAAAATAAAAGTTAAGACCAATTAGGACAGGTAGGGTACAGAGTCAGGCCTTATTTAAATGCAAAGGAATATAAATGAGCTTTAAGATGAATTAAAAAAAGGATCCAAACTATGGGCAGATCTTATTTTGAGGGTTAAGCTGTTCCGAATATTTAGTGCAGCAATGACAAATCCATTGTCTCCTCTTCCTTTACAAACTGGTTCTAGGAACCTGTAGCAATAGTTTATTGTTTGATTATAGTGTTCTAGAAATGGTGCAGTCATGTAAACGATCTTGCAGGTAAGCTAGGGCTAAGCCTTTTAAAAATTAGGAAAAATAATAAAAGAAAAACCAATCCAATAAGATACAGGCAGCTGTCTCTCATCCCGTTGAGAGTTGAGCGTTTTCAACCATGTGGACATGCTGAAGATAAGATTGGTCCCTGTTTTTTTTATAATGAATGACAGTAATCCAAATGTGTGTGGTAATGATGGGTCATTTTCTCCAGATCTGAACAGAACCAAGATTTAACTTTTGCTAAATGAAGAAGCTTGAGTTCAAAACAGAACTAACTCACTTATCTAGCTTTAAACAACATTTAAACAATGTTGATTTATTAATCTACCTGTACCACCATGTCCCCGCCTGTGTCAAGGTTTTAGTTTCTTAGATTTCTAGATTTATCGTGGAATTGAAAAACAAAGAGTAGAAAAATAAAGCCAGTATCAGAAAATGTTAAAACTGTTTGGATGCACGTTAATTGCTGTACACTGATGTACCACTAGATGGTGCTCCAACTCTTCTAAGCATATTTACCAGAACGCATCCTTTCCCTTTCAAGGCAAAACAAGCAGCTCTGTTTACTCCAGGCACCAGCAGCTGAAAATGAACAGCTCATGGCAGCTTCGCATGAGGTTGACATTCTCCCAACCCCGATACATGCTGCCAGATATATTAGTGTTTCAGGGGAATAAACCCCTCAGAGCAAGGTTAGAGCTCTCTGAAAAGTTCTGTGCTGCCTTATAGGCAAGCAGCAGCAGAGCGAGAGGTCAAATACGGTTAGTCTAGATTAGGTCTATGTCTTTCCTCTGGGCTCCGCTGGTGGCCCGACCAACTGCCCACTGCTCTTTCAATTATTTTTTGGTCAATACACTAAAAGGAGCCTGAGCAGAGAACACTTCCTGATCTGAAAGATAAGAATAACCAGATCCTGGATGGATGGTCCCAGAGGCAGGTCCAAGCATGTGTATTCTGTTAGTTCCTAACAAATCCCACCACCGAAGGATAACACGGCGTGATGGGCTGACAGAGAGGGCTACAGACTAACGGACGATGGAAAAAATACAGGCCTATGGACGCTGGTGATTATTATGATGATGACGATGATGAAGAGGAGTGCTGATGAGTGTGAGTAAGCAGCCCCGCGGCAGTCCCCGAGCTGTCACATCGAATACAGCGTGTGATGTCTGCAGTCCTGATTGGTACAGACATCACACCAAGATGACTGTGATCTGCGCAACATGCTCTGCTGTCCTGCACAAAGGGGAGTGTGTCTATTGTGTGCGTTCGGGATCGTGTGTTTCCTTTAATGGATTTATAAAAATAAAAGCAGATAAGACCACATCTATGTGACCTTTTTGTTTGTAAGTTTTAAAGGTACTTGTTTTTTTTTTTGGTAATCTCATGGAGCTTTTGTTGCTCACCTTTCTTCTCTAGGCGTTTCATGTCCATGAGTTTCTCCACACTGTGTGGGTCCTGGAGCCAAAGCTGCATCCGGACAAAGGGCTCCCTTCCCTTCAGGCTCAGCTTGTGCCAGGGTTTAGGCCTGGCCAGCAGGTCTGAGACAGAACCCTGAGTCAGACCCAGGATGGTCTCCCCAAACAGTCGCTGACCTTGGAGAGGAAACCATAAACGGATATTAAACATCAAATTGCCACAACCTTCACTGCGTTTCATTAGGACTTTATGTGACAGACCAACACAAAAGTAGAGCAAAACCGTGAAAGGAAGCCAAACCCTACATGCTTTTAACATCTTTAAAAATGCAAACATGGGGCATGTATTCATATTCAATATCACTTTCTTTAACACCTATGAATAAAATCCAGATGTTGCCAAATCGGTACATGGAGTCCCCTAACCGCTAATTTCTTCTCAGTATAAACCCAGCTGTTCTCTGAAGGCCTCTGATGTTTTATAAAAACAATTAATGAACAAACAGCATCGTAACAGACAGTTCAGGGAGGAAGTTGAAGTATTTTTTTTTTTTTATCAGAGTTAGTCTATAAAAAAAATTACAGAACTACAATTAAATGCTTTCAATCAAAGCAAAATTGTCTTAGAGAGGCCTAATCAAAGCCCAGATTAAAATACTAAGTCTTTAACCTGAGTGAAACAGAATGGGTATAAACTCAATGTAAAATCAAAATGTCTCCAACGGAGTACTGATTTGAGGCTAAATACTAAGGTATACTAGAATTCTCAGGTTTTGGTTGTCAGAAATGTTAAAAAGCACAATTCATCTTCCTTGCACTTTCACAATTATGCACCACTTCAGGTTTGTCAGAGAAGTTCACATAAAATCCATAATTCTTTTCATTTTTAATCTGACACCAGTAAAAAAAAACAAAAAAAAAAACATTTCTGTTTCTTACCAAGGTTATTATCAGTTAGCACCTCCTTAACCTTTTTGGTGATGGCGTACGTATCAAGCTCAGGAGACATTGCTACCATCTCCTGGATGCTGAGACTGGAGTGACCCGGTAGGGGCAGCGGGGTGCCCGGCTGAGACTCCCCACCTGAGGGATCCTCAGACTGAGGCTTGAGGCTGGAGGACTGCGAGGCGAGGGGATCCCCGGCGAGACCGTTAACAGACTCCTCTGCAGAGCTGAGCGGGGATTCGGGAGCGGGGCTGCAGCTTGCTGATGTCTTGGGAGTGCCCTCTGCTTGAGCGGAACAGACAGGGTGACAAAGATCATACAGTTTAGGTGACATGTTACATTATGTAGGGGGGAAAACACACAGTAATCTCCCCTCCCTGCTGGGATGAGGAAGGGACTTCAGTCAAATCACATCAGCTAATTTAACTCCCTTTAGAAAGCAAAGAAGGTGCTTAAGTTTTGGGTTTGAAGCTTTTTGGCTTCTTCCTCTCATTCCTTCATCTCCCTGTCTGTGCCTGTGTAGCACTGCTGTGCCGCTCAGCAGGCTGGAAGAGAGCAGTCATGAGGAGCTGTCAGTGTACATTAGCTGCTGTTTACACCCCCAGAGAGAAAAAGAGACACACGCGCGCACATACACACACATGCGGAGCTGCCATCTGGCGCTGCAACACTAACTTGTCTACGACATGACAAACCAGCAGCTTGCTGGCTGACACTGCCGCAGAACCGGGTATGGGGGGGGATGGTGGGAGAAGGAAGGGGGCTGGGTAGGAGGAGGATGGTAGGGTGAGTGACAGGCTGACAGTAATAACTAGCCACTAGCTCTAATCAGGGGGATGTCAGGTGATGGTCTGCGTTCCGATTGGTTTACCTTGGTTTTGAGCTTGCTGGATGTGTGCGTTTTGCCCCTGGTCCCCGTTGAGCCACGTCTGCATACGGAGGTATGATGGCTCTCGGCTCCTCTGGTTCAACTTGTTCCAAGGTTTGTGTCGAGTTAAACTGTCGCTCAGTATTCCCTGGGACACAACAGAAAAGAACAGCTCAGCCATGCCCACCCCTTTACAGCATCCCTCACCTTTTTCCCATTTTTAAAGAGCATTTCAGAGTCAAAATTCAGGATGCCAGCCTAAGGTCCACTTCAGACATGAGTGGTGGACAGGGCTTAAACAAGGGAGGAGTAGAGAAGGATGGAAACATCAGATAGGCTGATAGACAGAGGATTAAATGGATGGATAGAATAGTAGATGGATGAATAGCTGGGTGAGTTATAGATTGTGGGATAAAAAGATGGACAGAGATGTGGATAAAAGACAGATACCCAGAGGAATAGATGAATGATAGATTGATGGGCTGCTTGATGAATTGATGGACAGATGACCAGAGACTGATGAATGGACAGATGAGTGGAAAGAAAAATGGGAGGAGGAAAGTGATAATGGATAGATGGATATTAGGTGGATAGATATCTGGATGAGAGATGGAATGATAGAGAGGTGGAAGCCGGGAAAGAGGGTCGCATGGACAGAAACTAAATAACACAGTATGAGTAAAAGACGGACAAATAGGTACAAAAAGATGGGTAAACGAAGACCCTGAACCCTCTACAGTTTCCTCAACAGTGAATTTTGGATTAGAAGAGGCATCAAGATCAAAGGGTTCTGCTTTGGCTTGGTCCTCACCTCTTTGGAGTCCTCCTGGTTGTGGTTTTCCTCGCCCACCTGGCTGGATAAGCTCCGCCGGTGGTCGGAGTGCATGTTGCTCCACCACTGCTCTCTCCAGTAACCCCCTCCTATAGCGCTTCCGGGGCGAGCAGAACCCTCAGAGGGGCGGCTCAACCTGAACCCTCCATCAGCCGACATGTCGATACCTGAGGAAGCTCTGCCGTCTCTCTTCCCACCGGAGCTGAAGTCCAGTACTGGAGATGGGGAAGGAGGCGAGGACAAGTGGGAGCTTGGCGGTTTCTTGAGGGAGAGAGCTAGTGAGTTGTAAGGTGGGAGTGGGGCAGTAAGAGAAGAGCCCAGGATGTCCCTCTGAGACAGAGAAGCAGAGGAGGAAGACGCAGACGAAGCTTTGAGGATGGGCTCCAAAGCAGCCTGTTGAGCCTCCATCTCCCTACGTGCCTGCTCCAAGATGGAGCGGATGGCTTCGTCTGAACCGCTGCCCCCTCCGCTCCCTATACCTCCTCCACCCCCTCCTTTAAGTCCCGTGTAAGATGGCTGAGCGTGGGACAAGTCTATTAAAGGAGAGGAAATGGGCCGTCAGGAGAAACACAGACATGACGTCCATCTTCAACGCTCTGGCAGACTTAGAGAAGAGGAAATAAACTAGAACTCACCGGCTTTCTGCACCTGCAGCTCTCTTTTGGCCTGTTCCAGGATGGACTTGATGGCTTCATCCGAGCCTGCCTCTGGGGTGCGGACGCGAGAGGTGATGTTACCTGGAAGGGAAGCAGGAAGAGACGACAAGTGTGTTAAACAGGACGAATGACCAGCAGAGCAAAACAAACAGCCGACAAGGACAATAAATACTCACTACAGATGCATCTCAAAAAGTCACAGTATCATCAAAAAGTTGATTTATCTCTGCAATTTACATTTAAAGGTAAAACTTTTATACAAAAAGCAGGTTGATACGTTTCAAACATTTATTCCTTAGTCTTTATGAAATACAGTAAATAAAAACCCGACATTTTAGTATCTTAGGAAATCAGAAGTGCCACAAAGAGAAGAAAAAATTTAGAAAAAGTGGGCCTTCTGAAACATTTGTCCCTGTACAGTATGGTATGCACTCTATATTTGGCCAGGACTCCTTTTACAGGAATTAATGGCAGTGTTGTCCAGAACAGGGATACAATGCTCATTAAAGCAGGTAGTGATATTTCTGGTTGTGCGAGCAGGTGCAAAGTCCTGCTGGAACATGAAATCAGGGGTCAGGAGAGGGAAGCACGAGTTGATCTATGATTTCATGGCATACTCTGCCTTAGGACTACAGAAAAAAAAAAGAAGATTCATTTGAAAACAGAACTTTGGAAAATCCAATCCTTTTTCTACTGAAATAACCCAACAGACCAGCTTTAGTAAACATCCAGGATATCTCTCTGTGGTAGCACTCTACGATCATTTCTACTGATCAGACGCCTCTTTAACCAGCAGAGTTTCATGTTTTGTACTCTTTGTGGAGGGAGTCTCTTCTCCAGGATCACGTAGGCCATCACAAAACATCTCTATTAAACTTCTATTCAACACTAAAATTATCTGAAGAACTGAAGTGAGGATTTCCATCAGCTGTAAGCCAAAATCAAATTGAACAAACAGCTGAAATAGATCACTGCCTTGAATTAATCCACTGTTATAAATGAACTTTTTGATGATTTTCTTTCAGTTTAAATAGGCGCCTGCATATCACATCACATCACATCCCCCCCTTGGCATTCCCACTGTTGAGCTAACAATGAACGAACAGCAACAATACTGGAGAGAGTCCCTTCATTTCTCGCTTTGGAGCGCACACATGCACACTTCATCAAATAAATACTCCCCACAGAATAACAACTACCAGTAAAAAGCTTTAAATACACATGCTGGTTTTTCCTCTGACGCAAGTCACTGGAACTGTGTGGTTACCTTCAAGGCATATTTATAACTGTATGCCTGCCCGCAGTTAATAAACGGCGACACACACCCCATACACACCATTGATACAGTTTAACCCACCCGCCCCCTCCCAAACACAAACATGCCACACAGACACAACGAGCCAGAATCTGTGCATGTGGACGGGGACAGACCTGTGTGTGAAGGTGTATCGGAGTGGGCTCTCCGCTTCGGAGCGTCCTGAAACACTCGGCTAAGCTGGGGCTGGCCTGAGCCCTCTGTTAAAAACAATACACCACACACTATGTTACAGCACTTTGGTGTTGCTTTCTTTCCTTTGAACAGCTAGACTATGGGGTGCGGCACACCGTCCTGCACTTTGTCCCATCCCACGGACCCTGCATCAAAAGGTGCGTCTCTATAAATTAGTGTATCATTCAAAAAAAAATTCAGAAATTCAGATCTCGTTTCAACTCCTTGTTTTTGTGATTTTAGATGATTATGGCTTACAGCTAACAGCACTAAAACGTGTTTGTTTTTTAAAAGAATAGATTGGAACAATAAATTACAGTCATCAGTAATCACTGTGTGCAACGTGGCAACTTTAAATGACTGCTTTCCAATGGGCTATTCAGTCAATTAGACGGATTTTTACTGTCCACAGAGGACAAATATTTTAAAACCAAAATGCTTAGGCCACTATTGCAATATTTAACTATACTACTGCAATCAATAGTTTTTACCCTAAACAACAAAGCTAAGCTGTGAAAAGGTAAGTACTAACAAGCTGGCAATTTACACAGTAATCCAAGAATATGGCAGTAAAGTTAAGTGGAAGGAAAAAATGTCAAGTTTATTTTGCTTTTCATTTGCAAATTAAGCCTCCAGAGAAAGAGCTTTTAAGATCCAGAGTGTAGCTTCCCCACTGCTGCCATCTACCAGGAAATGTCAGACAACATTATGTTTCAAATTGTTAAGAACTTTTACCAAAACATGGGTTTTAGTTTTCTATTATTATCAGACTTACCTAAAAGTCAGACTCCCAGAAAACCTAGAACTCTACATTTTTGTTGCCTATGAGCCAAAATTATCTAAATAAATAATGTTTAAACTCTATAACAGAGATAAACCTTTTCCAGGATGGTATTATATATGAAATGAGATGCACCTGCAAATGCATTGATCTTTACCACCTGTGGCGGAAGCGGTAGTTAAACCTCTGCTCCAAGCACAGCAGAAACAGACTCTAAAGCAGAGGCAGACGAAGTGCCGGTTCATTTTTTAAAATAATAATAATAATACTTTTGTTCCACTAAGGCCACCTTCAATCAGAAATGTCCTGATGCGTTAAGAAAAGCAGGCCGGGGCTAATCGAATCTACCCGCAGTTAACGGTACCCCTGCCTTCCTCCTAGTTCCCTTCGATCAATACTATTGATGTGTGAAAGGTTTCTGTATTGATCACGATAGCTAGGAGAGGCTCTTGGGATCAGTGTGTGACCAGGAATCATTCAGTGCACACAGGTGTGGGACAGAAAAGGAGGCAGGAGAGGGAGAGAGGAAGAAAAAAAAAAGGTAGTCTGTATTGACAAGCTGATCGATAGCTCAGTGCAGGGCTGTGAACACACACGCACTCACACACGGCAACTAACAGGACACACAAACATGGAAGCACAGGTGCACCAAAGATGCACACTAACCTCTCTGTCGTCCCTGAATGCTCCGCAGCGCCAGGATGTTCTGCTCATCAGCGAGGAACTGCCTCATCTTATGGAAGGGCTCCTTCCCCCGGATGGTCAGCTTGTTCCAGGGCTTGGGTCTGGCCAGGATCTCGCTGACTGAACCCTGAGACAGTCCTAGCACGTAGTGACCAAACACCCGCTGGCCGATGTTGTGCTTGATCAGCTGCTCTTTCACCTGCCGGGCAATCTCTGCTGTGTCCATGTCCTCCCCGTCTAGGACGCTGCCCGTGGTGGCGTCAGAGTGGCTGGGCGACGGGGAGGGTGCGCTGCCCGCAGTGCTGCTCCCGTTGACCGGAGCCATATCGGGACTGGCCGGAGGGGGCTGGGGACTGCTGGCTGCCAGGGGAATGGCGGCGGACCCTGAGCCAGGGGTGGAGGTAGGGATGGAGCTGAGGGCCGGAGTGAAGGGGGTAAACAGCAGAGCGCCACTGTGGATCCCGGAGGAGTCCTGCAAGGCTTTGGAGTAGAACGTCTGGAGCAGCTGTCGCTGAATGAGGGAGTTCAGAGCCATCTTACTGCCAACCAGGGGGAACATGGGGGAGTAGAGCTCTTGTCCAATGCCCGTAGGAGTGAAGGGTTGAGTCTCGCTGCTGGTGGTGGCAGTGTTCAGAGGGTCTATGTGAGTACGAGATAATGGGTGCTGAGAGGAGGAGGGGAGAGAGGGAGGTGGAGGAGGTGGTGAGGAAGAAGGCTCGCTGTTGACGGCGTCCTCCTTTGCTGTGGACTCTTCTGACCCTTTTCTCCCGGCTGACCCTACAAGAAAGGTCAAAACACACAATGCATTATGGGGGAGTCAACAAAAAAGGGGGTTCCAAAACGAGAGAGAGCAAAAAAAAAAAAAAAAAAAAAAAATGTTGAAAGTTATCTTAGTCCAGTTTTTTCTAGAATAGTGAACTTTGTGTTTTCCTTTTTTGCCAATCCCCCCCAGACAAAGTGCCCATGCATTTGTGATTTTAACCTTTCTTGTAAGCCACAGCCTGGAAGAAAACAGGACAAACAAAACAGTTGTCGCCGTGCCACGTGAACAGATTAGCCCGGCCCGAGGCCAGGGCTCACTTTATCTCACAGAGGTAGCAGAGCTGGGTTTCCTTAAGGAGTCAACAGACCAGGCCAGTCCTCTTCATCCTCGTCTTCATCACTGCAGATGCTATATCAGAGTCTCTCAGTTCGTAAAAAAAAAAAAAAAAAAAAAACTTTTCTCCAAGAAAAAAACACACACTTATTTATGAAACAAAAACTTGTACATTTGATTTTCAGCCCTTTTTTCTTTTTACCTTAAACAGACATTTGTTTTACAACCACCAGTACATACAGACATAGAACTATATTTTCTAGTCTTAATGACTAGAATTCATCTCCGGTACTTGGGAGAATCCTTTTAATGCATAACCATTGAGACTTAACATGATCAAATAAGACAGTAAGCTCCTCTCACTGTGAATGTTAATCAATTCTAAGCTATTCAACTATTCAAGCCTAAAGCAATGACATTTCAAACCCATAAACACAGTTTGCAGAGGGTAGAGGAGTCCTGATGTAAGGAACAGAGAACAGTGTCCTCATTTCTTCCCCTTTGTACAATCTTTGTAGTTTTTTTTACCTTTCAGGTAGAACCTCCTGCTGGTGCATTTATTAGACCCAACAGATTACTGTCTGTAAGCAACATGGAGACATCTTTGTGGCAAAACAAAAGTTTTAGACAATGTGTTTTAATTTTAAACCAATAAAATTAAAATGGATGGTTGTGGCAATAAACCGTCCAATAAAAAAATAAATGTTGAAGTATTCTCAGAGAAAAAGAACTTAAATAAAACATCAAGTGGCATCAAAAGTCACAACCCCTGATGAAAGCTGCTCCTTTGAACAACTAACAATGGGAAAAACTGTATTGAATTAAATGGAGGAATTTCACAATGTGATTCAGCTGTTTTTTTCTTCTTTCTATACTTTTGATGGTGTTTTAGATCTGAGACATGGATCCCATATGTGTTCTGTTTGATGCCACTTTTTGATGTGCATGTGTGCATATTCCCATTCCTACTCATCCTCACCTGAAGCTCTTTAAAAAAAAAAAAAATGTCTTCTCTTGGTCTCTTGCAAATATCTTACACTGGAGAACGGCTTCACGTCGACTCAAAAACTTACCGCTCAGCTCAGTGTTGGCGATGCGCAGAGCGGCGCTCTCTGATTGAAGAGTCCGATTCTTCTCCAGCAGCAGCACTTCCAGTGGTTTGGAAGAATCCTAAAAAACAAAACAAAAACAAAGGTAGAAAGAAGAGTTTGCATCCACTACTTTAGGTTCAATCACTTTATCCTAACCCATTTTTTTTTACCTGCACTGAATCGGTTCCAAACTCCATGGTCTTGAGGATACTGAGGAGATCAAAGAGCAAACTTTTAGCTCACTAAAAGACAGGCATGCACACATTTCTTCTCTTAGCATCCTGTAGCTATCTACACCTAAAAGAAGGACGAGCCTCTGATTTGGACTCCAGAGATTTACAGCAGGAAATTCTGCTGACTCTCCTGTTTTAACCCCCACCTTAGCTCTTTCTTGACCTCCTCATAGTCGGCTTGCTTTTCCAATTTCTCTTCCAGTTCCTGTGGGTAACAAACAGAAGTTAATATTTCATGGATGCGTTCCAGAGGGCTATTTAAGAAGAAAAACCTCAAACGTGGTAAAAGGAAAATGAGATGAAGTCTGTATAAAATAAAAATAAAAGAGGGGGAAGTGGATGTTTGAATGGTACCTTCAGAACTGCAGACTTGCTGCTAAGCTGCTGCTCCAGCTGGGAGATCTGGGAGCTGGTGGTCTCTCGGAGTTTGGTCAGGCTGGCCTGCAGTCTCTGGACATCCTCCACCAGCTGGGCGGTCTCCCTTTCTTTGGCCCTCAGCTCCGCCTCCAGGTTGGAGTGCGATGCCACCTCTGGTGCCTGATCCTACGGGCCAGATAGTAAAAAACTTTTTCATGAAACTGCCGAAAACGCTTAACTGCAAAAGAATCTCCACTACAAATAAAAGTAATTTGGGAACTTAACAAGCCAAAACATTCATATACATGTAGTAGCTTCATTTACTTTGTGGTATTCAGTCTATTCAATCAAGCTATTAAATAATCTGGTACTTCAGGAGTCAAAGGATCATTAAATATTTCCTTGAATATTCAAATCTATTTAACAGATGACTCCCAACATTTCATATAACCTCAGTAGTGTTTGCGGTCTAAGTACGTTAGTTGCATTAAACTGGTTTTAATCAAATGTGTAAATGCTACTTGCTCAATTTGGTACGTTGATTTCAGCTTATAAACGCAAATACAGCCTGACTTTAATGATGTAATAGAGATTAGTTCTCCAGATAGGGTTGTTATTGCAACCGCGATTATTTTACTACCCCAGTATAAGACCACATTAAGGTCTGAAGATAAGGAAACCTATGACTCAATTTAAAGCAATATCAGTTCTATTATCTTATGTTGAGATAATTCAGTTTGTTGTAATTGGTTTTTACAATCGCATCTTGAGATAATGAAATCTAAAGCTTCTTTAAACCCATCTAGAAAACATCTAATGCCCAGTTTCATCTGTAAACAGTTAATCTTATTTTGTCGCCTTCTTATAAAACAAAACAATTATCTCAGGATTATAAAGTGTTCTAGTTGGTGATACTGATAACAGTATACAGAATACAGAGCTGCAGACAGGAGGTCACATATTGGTCGGATCTACATCCGCTCCACACTATGCGTATTTCCTGTTTGGTATCTTACCAGCTTGTTTTGTTTGTATGACCCCCATTGCGGAAAACGACTCGAGAAGTTGGACCAGCTAGAAAAGGTGGCGCAAGAACTCTGGGACCCTTTTTCCACTTGGAACCCTGCTCTTTTTCACCCTTGTGTCCCTCCATTGTCGCAGCATGGAATAGCATAGTGCAGACCACGCTTCAAATCAAAAATATTTGAGAGAGCCTCACTGCGACACATTGCTACGGGAGTATAACCAGCCCTTAAGGCAGCAGGTTAACATATTCATGCCAAAAACGCCACTGCTTCTTTAGGCATCTTAAGTCTAAATACGATAGCGGAATATATGAGGATAACTACTAAAGATCAACACTTTTGTTGTTCAAACAAACTAAGATTAAACCATTCTTTGTTCTATACGTCAATGTAAAATCTGCTGGAATAAATCGCTGAAACAACATGAATTATGATCACTTTATGTTCTAATGAGGAATTTGTATTTTCTCTGTAAACAGAACATGGTAAACATGATGGGAACATTTCTCCCCACTCATTTTATTATACAATACATCTCAATTAAATCAAATTCAGCATAACTCTTAAAACCCCAGCGGCTCTGAACATCCCTGGCTACATATGCATAAAACAATATATCAGCCACAAATCACTAGGTTCATAAAAGGAGTTTAAGCCAATCAGCAGCTCTTTACCAACCAATCAGAGAAGCAGTGAAAGTGGGTTACCGAGTCAGGGTCGGCCTTGGTGGGACTGCTGAGCTGTTGGGATTGGTTAGTTGATGACAGCTGCTCTCTGAGCACCTCCGCCTCTCTCTCTGCCACTTCTGCTCGCTGGAAAGAAACACAAATGTAAACGGGAGAGTCAGGATAGGTGTTTTTTATACTCTGAACCCCATTGTATCTGATCATCACCAGCTCCAATGTACACACTGTCATTTTTTCCTCGGTTTCTTTACAGTTATTGATAAAAAACCAAAGGATTTTAACTTCACTGCAGAAAACCAAATCCCTGTAGCGTACATTGAGCCAAAGGTAATAAAGTTAAGGCATAAAGGTTTTCCATTACACAATCTGCCATCATGCTGGGAAGCGTTAGTATACAAAGGAAATGGCCCCCTCTTTACAGCCCAAACAAATGTTCAATAACACCACAGGGAATATTTACAATGTAAAACAGCAACAGAATTGATATTACCTTAATAAATCACCATATATTTCCCTAAAGACCAGAAATAATAAGCATGGACATACATTCAGAACCACATGGCCACGCTCCGGTCTAGAATCATCTGCTACGCCGGCCAACTCGCCATCATTAGGACTTACAGGGAGCCGATCTCACAGCGTCCCTAATTGCAACCATCTTGAGAGCTGTTATTGACTGGGTGGGAGTTAAAGTGCTAGTCCAGACAAAAACAAAACAAAAAAAGTCCTGTTTTCCATTTTCTTCTTGTAAAAAGCTTCTAAAAAGTCTGACTAAGCTGTAGGCCACGCTGTCACCCTCAGTAAACCTCAACTCCAAAGTGTGAAGAGTGCAAGAGCGTGTGTGTGTGCAAGAGTGGCATTATAGTCGGAGCGTTAACCTTTGGGCTAATATTAACATTACATGCCCGTGCTGGCCCTTTAACCAAAATCATACTCTTAGCCTAACAATGGAAGTTAACACAATGACATTAACAGATAGCAAAGGGTTATTAACAACTGCTGGGAGCTTTGCTGCAGCTCAATGAGCTCAGTAGGTGTGTGGAAAACTGGCAGGAATCTTCACTCTGATGCATTCATGTTTTATAGGGATCATCTTTACATTTTAAACTGGTAAGCAATCAGAAAAAAACATATGTTTTCTTACTCAAAGGGAAAACCAGGCTGTGTAAAAAAAACAAAAAAAAAAACGAACAGCATCGCTTTTTCTTTTGGTATAAAAACGGTCAAAAATACCCAGTGCGTTTTTAGAAAGAGCTTAATGATTCCCAAAAACAGCTGGACATTAGTGCTGCTCAAAGTAGAATAAATGGCGTGCCTGTTTGGGCCTATTTTCAGGCGCAGATTTATACACAGCCCGAGTTCAGGTGAATATTTTCTGCAGCAAAAAGTCGTAGGGTGGAGACAAGAAGTTAAAATAGCAGCATCTCTGTTTACACATAATGAAGCAATGACTTTAACTTATTTCTATTGTTTTAACACCAGTTACATTCCTAGCTCACCGTCTTTAGATTTACACAGACGGTTAAGTTTGAAATAATCATGTCAAAATTAGGACATTTTTCACTTCTATTTCCAAATCTTATAATCAGACATAATAGAGTATGCCAGATTGCAGTGCATAAAACCCGTTTCAGCCACTGAGAGGCTGCCACCTGTTTACAGTTAATTATTTTTCTAGAGATTAGTTATAGATGTCATTATTTAGCTAGGAATGAATCAAATTAAAAAGCTTATTTTTTTTTATTTTTTTTATCCTGACCTGTAGATTTTTACAAAACATACAAAATTATGTTTTTCCCAAGCAACAAACTAATTCAGCAAATTTATCCCGAAAGTCTAATTTTTATCATATGATTAATACAAATTTTATTAACTCTAGAAAACAAGATTAAGATAATAATTTTTTTTTTTTTTTCTTTAGCTGCTTCATTATGTTCAGACTGAGACAGGGAGGTTTTCTTGTTACCATTTTTTATGGTAAAGTTCCCATTCTACAGCTCTACATTTTATACAGACACAACTAAAGATAATAACTAGAGTCATTTTTGCAATGATGGTTAATGATCTAAACATATTAGTATATTTAAGTCAATCCTGACAGTGATGCTGAGAGCTTCTTTAAGCTGGAAACATTTTCTATAGATCAGTTCGTTATAGATGATCTACAATGGTCATGATAGCACTGGTAAGTGACTAAATGGGTATAAAAGAATAAAAAAATTTTTGGGATCTTAAGTAATGTTTTATTATTTTACAGGTGGTTTAGAAATGGGTCAAGGTCGTTCTATGCCTCAGTACATCAGGTGGTTTCTGAATGTTATAAGGTTTTTTAAAATGACTGAAAATTAGACACAAAGGTACTGATATTAAAAAAAATCTTTATTGTATTGTTCAATACTTAAGTTCTTTTAAATGCATACTTTTAGATTCGTAAGTATTTTCAAAAGTGAGTATGTCAATATTTTTCATAACACCATGATAGATGGTGTATTAGAACAAACACTGCATAAAATAGTTTAACAACAGCTATAAATGTTCTAGTCAAGTCTGGAATTAACTTTTTTTTTTTTTTTACCAAGACCTACAAAACCATTTTTTTTTTTTTTTTTTTTTGCTCTGGAAACAAATATCCTCCCAAATCTATTCTCTTTGAAAATTTTAGAATAATAGTGAAATCTAATTTTTTTCCCCCATTCTTTTTTCCCCAAGGTGAAACCTCTGGTCACTTGCTGCTAGAAATATATGAAACAACCGTTTAACTTAACATTTATTTAGAGACTGACTCTACAAATTAAGTAGAAAGTCTGATCTCCGCGTGTGACAGAAGATAGATTAGTCTGATACTGGCTGAATTACCTGATTGGCTCTTTCCAAGTCTGTCATCACCATCTCTATCTCGTCAGCCCTGGAAGAGATAGTTCTGATTAATCTAAGGAAGAACATAAATAGACAGCCTTTAAAGACAAACAAGCAGAGCTTATAGGGAAACAGAAAAAAAAGATTCCAGGAAATAAGGGAACATTTTACACACAAATTCTGCCTCCATTTAGCTCCTGTCTAGATTTCACCTTAATCCACCGATAGTGGACTCCATTACTCAAACAGCTTGCATTCGTGCGTGCGTGCATACATGTTTTTAATTGTACAAGTGAATGCGTGTCAGCGTGCACACGTAAGCCCCTAAACCAGGGCCACACTAAAACAGAGGGATTACATTAATAGAGCTCTAAGTCCTAATACAGCAGACTAATCTGCTATGAAGCTGTGTGATTGTGTCTGACTAATGGTCTGGATGGAGGCCAAGGTTCACCTCTCACTTGCTAGAGGTCAGATAGCAAGAATACATCTGTGCAATAATAGATCTCAATGGATCCTGGGAAAAAAATGGTTCTGAATTTTCCATAAGGTAATACAGATATGAATACAAATGTAAATGGTGGGGAGATATGGGAATAATGCACATACAGGATGTATCTTATGTTTAAACTCTGAATTGATTTTCTGCTTAATAATAATGAACAATAATCATAGAAAAGAAGACAGCCCAGGAATGCACTCTCTGGAGAAGATACATCCAGGTTTGTGGTTTTTTTAATCCCCTGTACTTTTCACCTTAAGGATCACATCGATGTGTGGCTGGGTAATAGTACATTTCTTCCTTCTGTCTTCTCTGTTCCTTTAGGTGATCTTCGTCTTAGATGCATCTCTACAATCTTTCCACATTTAGGGACAAAATATTCCATCCTTCTTTGGGAAACTAATCTTAATCAGACTGGAGAGGGTCTGTGCTGCAGACCAAAAATTCTGATTAAGGAACAGAGTTTGATTAGGCCACTTTAACATGGGATCATCTTTTTATCTGACTCATTCTAGTACATATCCTGCTGTACAATTTAGGACAAGGCCTCTTTAATAGTAAATATACTCCCTCTGCACACTTTTTCCTAGTTTTTCAATTGATGTATATTATAAAAAGTTCTTCTTCCCAGTTATCCACTACATGAGGACCTATTTCTGAATTCTACCAAACAGAAAGAGCCCGGAACAAGACTAAATAAGGGTGTGAATACTTTTGCAATGCAAGGTAGAAGAGAGACTGAAATTGAAGCTATCAGAAGTGGTGGCAGAAAGATGCTATATGTAGCCATGGTTATTTAAGACATCGATGAGAACGCATGAGCGGCAGAGAGAGCAAAGATGTGAGCACATATGTGCACCGCTGCCTCCATTAGGACCTTTTGATTTGACTGCAATCTTTTGATAGTGAACCCAACAGCCCACGCAGCTTTTGTATTTGTGTGTCACAGTATGCGAAACAGCGCTATGTCCCATAGGCTTGCGTACAACTGATTTGAATGCGTTTAACAAAACAGACACAGTTGATATTAGGTCAACATTGTGCCACGGGCGATGCAGCAAAAGGAATCAGATGTGGGTGGGAGAGCTTTTCACTCTGCTTTTATTCTTTCCTTAATAGTTGAAAGGATCTGGTGTGTGTTTAGGCAACATAATGGTGTGCTACCTTAACAGCTTTTATCCCATCTTAAGCTATACTGTGAAGCCCATGTGCGTACTGAGCACGTATCCCTGCACGCGCACACGGAAGGTCAGGGAGCCACGGAGCTGGAAAAGCTTGTAATGGAGAGCGTTTATGGGTGGTAATGCAACCCAAATACAGCGCGGCTCCTGCTCCAAATGTTATCGTTTAATCAAAGTACAGATGCACAAAGTCTTCCTAAATAACCTTTGGATTTGGCTGTATTTGGGAATTATAAAGGCAAAGCTAGAGGCTGAGGGCCAAAGCAGATCACAGGGAAGGGATTTTCAGCATATCCTGATAACAGTCAGTCAGTGGCTGAGCAGGGCAGGAACTGCCCATGGCCTGCCAATGCACCCAGGGGGAATTAATTCATCAAACACTGAACAATAAAAGAGGGTGACAGAGTACGGTTCATTGCTGTCAAAACGTAAACATAAAGCTTAATGCTACAGCCACAAGGAGGCGCTATAAAGCACCTACAGAGTTGCATTCTAAATGACAAACAGAACCCAGAACGACCCATTAGACCCGACTTTGGTGCCATGAAAGCCAGCGGGTGCACCCGGTGACACTGGAGTAGGACTTCTGAAAGGAACCCGGAGCCTCAGAGCCTCGACTGCTCTCCCTCCATCTCACACAGGCCGTTTCATCTCTTATCTTCTGTCCTGCTCTTCACTCAACTGCTCCTTTTCTCTTCCACCCTCAGCCTGCCTCTAGTCTTCCCTCCCTTAACCGTTCCCTTCCAGTTTTTACCCCGTTTCATCTACTCCCCTCCTCCTCCCCTCTCTCATCTATCGCCCTCTCTTCCTCTGTGCCAGCAGGATATTCCCCTGATTTAGATTTTCATTTCCCCTTCTCTATCACACTCTTATCCCGTCTTCCTCACCGAGGCCTCCAGCCCCCTGGCTTTCTTTTTTTTTTTTTTTGCCCCCCAGTTTTCATCACTCCATTTCTTTTCTTTCCTTGGCTTTCTCCACATTGCATTTTCACAGCATGTTACCTTAGGGATTCCAGGGAGGCTTAAAACAGAGCGAGATGCGAGTATGTCTGTGTGTGTTTGAGCGTATCCTTGCGCCATTTTATGTTTGTGGGTGCTTGAAATGGACACACAGAAAAAACTATTTTGTATACAATATTAGGAAACATTTATAGAAATCTGCAGACATTCAGTCTCTTAAAACATCCGGTGGGCTTGGAAATCAATAAATCATTAATCTTTAACGAGGACTAAACGATTAAAACGCGTCTGGCCAAACCCTAGCAGCGCTGGTGGTACATCTACAGGCCTGCCTCCTGCTGATGGACGCGCGCACACACACACACACACACACACGTTGCAACGTCAACCAGCTTCTCATGGTGCGTCATCGGTGTGTGTGTGTGTGTGTGTGTTTAAAAGGCAGATTACCTAAACCAAGCAAGAGATGAGGGGGTCGGATTATGTCAAGCAAAGTCCTCCTCAATGGGAAGTTTACACGGTGAACGAATGTTTGTCTCCGAGTGTGTGTGTGTAGGCATGATATGAATGACATTGGTGCACAAGCAGACTCAGTTAAAGGGTTAAAAGTTTTGTTCAGCCAAACAGTGGCGATTTGCTCAGCCAAGCAGTAAACGGACAGGGGGGGAGGACTCCGAGGACTGGGAGGGAGCAGGGTTGAAGAGGGTTTGTGTGTGCTTTAAAGCGTTGCATTAAAATTTCAGATCACAGCACGCCACATAGTCAAGGACCCTGACTGCCTGAGGCTCACGAATGAGTGAGTGAGTGAGCGAGTGTGTGTGTGTGTATACTTTAATGTGAGTGCATGTGTGGATGTGGGCGGGCATGTGCTTATTAGCTTCTGTAAGCAAATGGGGATGACTATAGGCATCCTTTTAAGATGATTCGCGTCTGACATGAAAGGAAGAACTGGGAAAAGAAGGGAGTTTTTTTAAGAAAGTAGATAAGCCATGTTAGAGAAGTATAAAAAACAACCGATAAACAATAAGTATTGATTAGCGTCTCTACGACGCATTGGGGTGTCTTTATATGGCCTTTCCGCTACCGCAAACACACATGTCTGGAAGATAAAAGATAAAAGTGTGGGTGGAAAGAAAAAAAAAGGGAGGAAAGAAAAAAATATTCGGAGGAAGACAGAGGAAGGATCGATCTGTTTTTAACAGCCAATCAATTTAACAACTGTGGTAATGGAGAGACACAGCGAGTCTAAGGGGCAGAGTAAACGGCAGCTTTTAAAAGCCAGGCTGATTCTAGGCTCTAGTTTATGCATGCATGCAGGACGTCCTTGACGGTTTCATTACCAGACTCCTACTTAGAGAGGGACTTGGGAGAAAAGTGCCACATTTTCCTGTGGTGCAGCAATGATCAATAAAACAATAAAGTTCTCACTTTTTTTTCTCTTCCCCCTACCAACAAATATTATTTTTCAGCTTTCTGAAAGAAGTCCGGACGCTGGAGAGGTTCTGGTTCCCACCAGTAACCCTGAGAGACTGAGGAGTGTGAATGCCATAAAGTGCCACTTTGCAGTGTGGAGCGCAGACATGAAAATGCTTCTGTTCTCATCCAGCCTACTGCTAGGAAATCAATGATAGAGGCACGCATCTCTAGTAGCAGGAGACAACCTATCGTTCTAGTACTGCCAGAATAACACCCTAACACCATCAGCATCATGCTGCCACCACCATGTTTCCCCATGGAATTATGCTAAACAATATTATCAGCTAATCCTATACAACTTCTCCATCTAGTGTTCTCGGGTTACAGTGAAAGTTGATTCTCTACAGGTCTTTTTGTATAAGATTTTCCCTTTAACATAATTTTTCAACTTTCTGGCTGACATTTTGGTCCCAGAGGGGTTTTAGTTCCCATAAGTAATCTTCAAACACTAAAGAGTCTGTCAGTGCAGAGTGCAGACATGGAAGGGCCGTTTTCTCCTTGTCTATCACTATTAGATCAATAATGATAGATGCACAGAGCTTGAGTACTTGATGCTAACATGTCTTTCAGGTCCTGCAAAGAAAAAAAAGAAAAAAAGAACTAAAACTCATGGCTTGTGCTTCCTCTCTTGGTTGAAAAGGACAAATCATACAGAGCACTTTAAACTACGCAGTAAAAATATAAACCTATTTTGATGCTCTGCCGAATCTGCAAAATACATTACAATCCCTCTCAGTATTTACTGTGAGCGGGTAATGCTGGGATTTGGAGGCTGTTGAGCGTTGTGGGAGACATTCCAGCTGTTAGGGGAGAGCAGGGGGAGTTTCCAGGGAGGGAGATTCACTAAAACAGGAGGATTATGTCAAGAGCAGAATATGGAGGGAGCCAAAGGGGAAAAGTCGACCCGTAAACACATGAGTAGATCACAAAGACACATACTTTGCTGTGGATTCCTCGTCATACTTTGTCTTCAAATCAAAGAGCTCCGCCTGAGTTGCTTCAAGTGCTAGAAAAGATAGAAAAAGAACTGTGTATGGGGAATTAAAAAAAATACACAAATAAAAGACACTAATAAATTAGGAGAGGCATTTGCCTTTTGATTCATGAACTTTAACCTCTGCCAACAACAAACAGTCAAAAATAGAAACAAGCAGCATTAAAAAGAGAATTGGCTTGTGAATGAAAAATTATACAAGGAGAGATTGGTGCTGCTCATTCAGACATTGATAGAGCAAGAGAGAGTGCGACTTACAGCAGATAACAGGAAGGCTGAATATTGTACAGCTACACTGCTCCTTTTGAGCTTCCATCTGTTACAGGAAATCTATAGGATGCTGGAAAATCTTAACTCCAATCAATTGTTTAAAAGTAATAAAATTGTGTTAGAGCTACTGTATCCTTCGTGGCTTGCTGTCCATGGTGAAATCAATTAAACTACTACTAACACGATTAGTCCTTTAAATGCTCCTGTATGGTAGTTGTAAGTGGAAGTGAAATACGATTTGTCAGAAATCTGAAACTTTTTATTTAAAATATGGGAAACCCAAGGAGGAGGACAGAATTCTCCACAGTCTTAAGAAAAAGTTCTCTTTTTAAATGTGAATTTAAAACTAAGCACCCCTCCCCTCCCTGTGTTTGTAATCTGAAGAATAGTCTGGCTGGTACCTGTCTGCAGGGACTGGGCCTTCTGTTCAGCCTCTTTCAACCTTGAAGACATGGAGTCCTGACTCTCCTGGAGTTTCCTAAAGAGGTGTGAAAAAGAGAGCAGGAAGCAAAAAAATCACAGTTAAAAGATAGTGAGTCAGTAATTCTTGGGTTCACACTTGGTGGAAAATGCATCCATTCTCTATTTTCCCACCATTTCTGAAGCCCCCCTCCCACCCCTAAAATCTTCCACAACACAACCCACTCCTCATTAAGCAGCCCTATTAGGCAGGAATGTCTGGCCACTGGGGCATGCTGCACCCGGGGGGGGGGAGGAGAGCTGAGTCAGAAAGGGTGGGGGGCAGAAACCACAGGGATAAAATAGATTCATTCTTAGCACATAAAAAAAGTTGGGTTCTGCTGAGAAATTGCCGCTGTGTGTAAAAACATCAATAATCCAGCACAAATATGGCCTTTATGACACCCTTTGATCCCCCCCCCCCCCCCCCCCCCCCCCCACCCCCCCCCCCCCCCCTC